GAGAGAGAGAGAGAGAGAGAGAGAGAGAGAGAGAGAGAGAGAGAGAGGACAAATATAGGGAGGAGCCTCTGGGGGAAGGGCAGCCCAGCTGCTGGACTGGAAAGTTCAGGGTTGGGGGCAGGGTATGCCAGGTAGGGACTGAGGGATGCTGGGAGAACTGGGAGGCCAGGTCTGCTTTTGATAGGTAAAATATGAACCTCATTTCTTTTGTCCCAGGGTCGAAACCAAACAATGGTGACACATGATCCCTATAAATTCTGAGCCCTTTCCCTTTTCCTGCCTCTAAGCACCTCTTCAATTTGTGAATCTGGCACTTTTTCCATGAGTGATGGTTATAGTTTTCATCCCTTAACCTAAACAATACTTCTAAAAACTCCTGAAGTTTATTTTACCGATAAGTTTCTGTGGATGATCAATCATTTTAATATATAACTTGTACTGTTTACTATATACTGTGCTAAGAGTTTATAGCATCATTATAACATTATAGCATTATAACAAACCCACAAGGCAAATGCTGTTAGTCTCACACAGCTAAAACTCAACATAACAAAAACAAACAAAATGCTTCTAAATAACTTGTCTAGTGTCACACAGCTAGTCAGTTGCAAAGCTGCATTTTGAGCCCAAAGCTTATCTTCCTCTAAACTACTTTAAATATTATTATATACAATTCACATTTATTTGAAAATTTAAACGTCATACTCAACATCATGTCACACTAGGCTACTCTTGGCTACAAATTTTTTCAAACTTTGCTTATTTTTTGTAAATTCTTTTTAAAGAACACAGTCACTCCATCATGAGGCAACAACACAGCAGCAGCCGAGATTCACTGGGCACGTCCATGTGTTTCTCTGACCCTCTTAGCAGCCCTCCAAGGCAGACATTGTACTTTTCATTTTAAAATATGAAAGCGGAGGCTTAGAGAACTAGAAATGGTGGTCCATCACAGAGTTACCACTTTGTTCAACCAGGATCCTGAGCTGGAACTGTTGAGTCTCATGCTCTTTTACTACTGTGGTTTAAATAGCTTACATCTGTGTGCTCTTTAAGAATAAATTGAATGCTAGCAATGGGCCACAAAGAAAGGGTACTCCTGGTCCAACTCTTTCCATTTTTGTTTTTTTCATTCTCCCTATCTCTCTGTTGTTTCACATGGCAGCACAGGCTAGCCTGGAACTCATAGTGCTCTTCAGCCTCTTGAATATTGGAAGTTGCGAGTGCAAGTCACCACATCTAGCTCGATTTTTGCCTAACTCCCAAACTTCTTCTACTGATTGCCTAACAAGATGTTTTAAGTCCAAAGTCACCAGGGTAGTCTCTTTATCCTCTCAGAAATCCACTGGTCAACAGTTTTAATCACTAGAAAATGTGTTCCTTTAAATGGTGGCTATAATTTTGTCTTAAAGTGTCCCTAAAGAGTCAGTTACAAACATCTGAAAACTCTATCATTGATAGCATGCATTGGGTAGACCCTCTTTTTGGTACAATGCAGCTAAGTTTATTTTTGTTTCAGCACTTTGTTTCTCTTTGTGGGTGTTTTTGTTATGTTTTGTTTTGGAGAGAGCATCTCACTTTGTAGCTCAGGCTGCCCTGGAACTCACTGAGTATCACAGCAGTCCTATTTCAGATTCTAGAGTTCAGGGGCTACAGGTGTGTGCCACCCAAGCCTGGTTCCCTTCAGCATCTTAATGGCACCACTCAAGCCACAATGACTGGAATAGCAAGTCCCTACAGTACCCTACAGTACAGCAGTGTGTATGTTTTCTGATGCCTCGCTCAGCATTCAGAGGCCACCTCTGAACACCTTCATTTCTCTTCTTCTTCTTCCTTCCTCACCACAGTATGTGTCGGTCTCATCAGATCCATAAGGTGCCAGCACTGACACTTCTTTCAACTCTAAACATGAATAGCCCTTTCCAGAAAACCCCTTGAGACATTAGTTTGAAAGGTGAGTCAAACAAGAGAATGTTTTTGAGAGTTTGACAAACAACTTAAACGGAAAGGCAGTGAGCCGTGGACAGGAGAGACAGTTCCCAGTTTCTTTCTGTCTGATCCCCGACACCCTCCTCATCCCATCTGCTCCCCCTACAGCTAACAGGCAGAAACCCCGCTGAGATCTGCTGGGCGTGCGGGGCGGGGCAGGAGGACGCCTGCGGGTTGCCTCGTAGAGCCTGACATCTAGGCTGCGAACTGCTCAGGGACACCAAGGAGCCCGGAGCCTGCCTTGTCCACTGGTACCTAGCTATAGAGGGAAGAAGTGGACCGAAGAGTCCGGGAATAGAGCTAGGCGATTTTTACCCCTATCAGCACCATGGACAACGCACACAAACAAACTCAAGCTCGTCTGGATGCTGCCTGCTTCTGGCAGATCTGGCAGCGCTTCGACAAGGAAGGTGAGCACCTTTGATCATTTGAGCGCCTAGCATAGACTCAGAGGAAATTAGAATTTCTCCTAAGCGCCTTTCCCTATAGGAAAAGTTTCTGCCTGCCTGGTAGAGTACACTCAGCAAATGTTGGTTTTACATATCAAGAAAGCTTCTGAAAAATTCTGAGCGGACTGAGGGCTTTCCTGCTTTCCAACCTGTGACTGTATGAGTGACGTGCAATTAATATATTAACAAACATCACCGCATATTGATTCCAGGCTGTTTGGATAAAACTTCAGCAATCTGTGGTGCTTTGTAAATGTGGCAGTTTTTTCATTAGTGACTGTCACACTATCCAGTCTCCATTCCCAACAATGGAGGATGAATTTTAGCAACATGCAGATTTACGTCCCTCTACTTCAAAACATGTTCTTAAAAGTAAAACAGATCTGTTTGCCATTTGGCCTTGTCCATTGGTAATTACACACACACACACACACAGACACACAGACACACACACACACACACACACACACTGTCCTGTCTGAAAGGCATGTTTACATACAAAAGCTAGGAGTTAGTATTTACTCCTCTCAATGTATTTGTAGACAGATACTGAAGTAACAACAACAACAACAACTACAATATGTGAGGGTTACAGAGGTGGCTCAGCCACTAACATTATATACTGCTCTTGCAGAAGACTCTGGTTTGGTTCCAGCACCTATCTTGGGTGGTTCCCCACCACCTGAACTCAACTCCAGGAAATCTGATGCTAACCTCTAGTCTCTAAGGGCACACTCACATTCACATAATTAAGATAAAATACAACCCTTTTAAAAAGGAAAACAGGAAATATAAAACCCAAATCTAAATAGCAAGATATGGTGGCACACACCTGTGATCCTAGCCATTGGGAGGTAGAGGCAAGAGGATCAGGAGTTCAAAGACTTCCTCAGCTACATAAGAAGTTTGAAGCTAGCCCGGGATGTATGTGACACTACTTCAACCCTCACACCTATAATATTCTTTTAGACAAATATTGTCACATTTATTCTATATTAGTGACTATGTTTATTTATGTTTATTTTCTTTTATTAGAAAAAGGTTACATAAAAGAGACAGAGCTGGATGCCTTCTTTGATCATTTGCTCGCAAAATCTGGCACTGAGGTAAGTACTCATAGCACAGGGCATTCTAGTATGTGCCTCTCGGCAACATTCGAGCATCAGAGTCTTGTGCTGATTTGAACCTATAATCCCGTATGACCTCGTTTTTTTCTTTGCATGTAACATCTCTCCCTCTCCTAGCAACATAAAGAGATTTAGGCAGGTTTTATAAAAGGTACCATCACATTAGGCGTGCTGGCCACTGATTTTCATTGAAACATCTGTCATGCAGTTAGACTGCTTACCTTTTGTGGACTCAGTCAACTCTAATTCATTGTTTCCTTGGTTACATCTCTGCTAATGGAGTTCAACAAGAGGTAGGGTAACTCATAGATGAAAATGAGATTTAAGTTTCCGTGTTCACACATGACTAACAAACCATTTAAAATCATTTCCCCATGATCTGTTTGATTAAAAGAAGTTGTTGTAGATTTCTCATGAACTGCTAAACAAAAGCAAAACCAGTATCCTCAGAATCAGATATAAATGTAAAGCAGTTTATTCAGATGGTAAAACTGGCATAGAGAGATGTGGATTTGTTTAGAAAGTTCTTGTACCAAAAGAGAGGGGAATAAAATAACATAGAGACACCAAAAGCCCGGCCAGCCTGTGATTGATGTTCAATACAGAGAGAAGTCCTTTGGATGGGTGGTCATCTCAGGAGGAGAGGCTCTGGGACTGCTGTGTTTACATAAATTGTCTCTCTCTAGGTTTCCATACTTTACATGGAGGAACATTAAGGGTCACATAGTCCCACTTTGGAACCATGGCCATGGCCATGGATTCTCTATCCTCAAAGAGTTCAGGGAAAGGTGTTAAAGGAAATGACTTCCAGCTAAGAAATGTAAACCAAAGCAAAACAAAGCAAGGCAAAACAAAGCCAGCCCTTGGTCTTCCTGTGTTTGTCTCTTGTATTTTGCGCCTCTTTTGTCTCTCACTGTCCTGCTCACTTCTGCGTTCCAGACCTCTCACTTCTGCGTTCCAGACCTCTCGTGTTTGTTACTGCACTCCTGTCTCTCTGACCTCCCTGTGTCAATGTGTGATCTTTGCATGTTTCTCCCATTTCTTCAGCCCTCTTCTGGTTTTGCATACTTCCACTCTGCTTTTCAAAGTTTTCTCTTGTCTCTTCTATCCCTTAACTCTGTTATTTCTCCGATTCCATCCCTTTCCCGTGTCTCTATCTTACTTCTATTTCTGCTCTTTATTTTTTTTACTCATAAGTTTCCTCTTCTCAACTCTTGGTCTCCTTTTCTTTCAGTCTCAGGGTCTCTTTCCTTATTGCCCAGTCTCTCTCCCTCTCCCTCTCTCTCCCCATCCCTCTCCCTCTCTTGCCTCCCTCCCCTCCCCCTCCCCCTCCCGACTGCTGCTTTAAAGAGCTTCATGTTAACTTGCTTTGACATCTAATTTTCTATTAACAGCCATGTTGTTAACTTCCCATGACAATGCCCAGACCAGTATAAAGATAATTGATGTATTCAACAGAAACTTTGTTCCAGAGCTCAATAAGTGATCACTGTCCTGACATGGGTCTTAATTTTAAAATTAACTGAACTTTGACCTGGTGGCCTTCCAGATTCAGTTCAGTTTCTGTATGGTGTATGCACATGTGTTCTCCCAAGAGAAACACTGAGACAGCTGCATCGATTTGTGATGATGGATTATGAGGACACTGCCTTATGGGTGGATAGGAAGCCCCATGACAGGACAGCAGTAGCATGGTTCTGTCTGAGTCCTAAAGCTTTGGAATCAGGAAAGCTGAGGATGTAGCCCTCAGTTAAAGGCAGGAAGTTTTCCTGAAAACTCAAAGGAAACGTGCTAAAAAAAAAAAAAAAAAAAAAAAAAAAAAACCCTGGAGGCCAGGGACCAGAAAGCATGGGTTTCAAGGCAGGGCATGAGTCCTTTGCAGTTTTTAAAGCATAGTAGTGAGGCAAGTTTGCCTTCTGTGTTCATTTTCTCTACCCCAGCCATGAGGATGGTTCCCTCTCACACTTCTGTGTTACTTACTTTGATATTCCATGAAAAAATATGTGACAAGAGAAATTTAGAGAAGGACAGGTTTATTTCAAGTCTAATAGCTTCAAGTTGACTTGCTTTATTTAAGGATAATTGAGTAGTTTATTTAAGGATACAGTTGATCATGCTGGGGAAGGCGTGGTTGGTGGATGATGTTGCTGGTCACATTGTGTATCCATGACCACAAAGCACTGAGAAATGTGTGTTGGTACTCGGCTCACTTTCTCAGTTTGATTTAGTGCCAGTCCCCTGCTCTTGTGGTGGTGTCATCTACATTCAGGGATGGGAGTGGGGTCATCGCTCCTTAGTTAAACTTTTCTAGAAACGTGTCACAAACTTGCTCAAAGGTTTGCCTTCAAACTCCATCAGCTTCACAACTAAGATTACCTATGACACTCTCCAATCTACACAAGTAGATTATAAAATTCCCTGGGAACACCTTACAGACTGACTCAGTAATGTTTGGCAAGTTTCTAGGTATTTCTTAATCCATTCATGTTGGCACCTAACAGAACCACCATCGTCCACAAAGATGGCCTATAGGCTGGGACCAAGTTGCCACTGAAACACCCTGGTTCTGGATTTTAATGGCCTATTTCACAAGGAGCTAGTATAAGTGGAATGTGCATCGTAGCAGTTGAAAGGCCTACAGTGCACATGTTCTCGAGAGGATGCTGTCTCCTTGGGCTCTTATCTTTTCCAGCCTTTTTTTATGCAGCCCCTTTGACTAACACTAGCCAATGGGTAACTGAAAATCTATTTCTTAATCATGTAAAAACCTCTGAGATAGAAAACAAACTATGGTGACTTTCAGCTTGTGAGGGCAAGTTTTCCAAGTCCCAGCCTTTGGTGACTATCATAAGCCATGTCCCCACTGTACTGGTTCTGAGAGTAAAGAAAGGCACCCAGGAAGAGAAGGGAGATTGCTGACAATCACCTCAGGGGCCCACAATATTTGCTCAGTGTGACACAACTAATCCAGCCACTGCTTCCTGTTTTGTCACCAGAGACTTTGATCTCAGCTCACTAATGTCCCCTCCCACATTTTTCATTTGATGTGAGCTCACTTAGGAACATATTCAATTTTTAAACTCGGCCTTTCGCTATTCCCCGCTATTAATCCTCAAATGGATACATTTGGTTGATGTCTTTACAGAGTCAATCTGTCCTAGTCCTCTTATTTTAATCATTTAATCATTATTTTAATCATTCTAAATATAAGACCAAAGCCCTCAGCCAGACAGATGGCTTTGGTGTGGCTACAGCATACATTTCCATTTGATTAATAGGTTGCCTTGATATAAATACTAGTTGGGTTTTTTTTTGGCTTAAAATGTAAAATAACTGCTATTTTATTTGATCTTTAGTTCGTACTAACAAAGCCTTTTGGTTTTGGCAGAGTCTTATCTCTGTGAAGTTTATTCCAAATGAAACTTATTCCGCACTTGCACTCGGACACTTGTTTACTTGTTTCTTTCCCGTGCATGTACTTCATTGCATTTTTATGTTTGAGTCTCCTCCTTCCAAAGGTAACAAGGTAAGAAACAATGAGACACAACTCCATTCAAAATGTTTTAAATTTTATTTATTTTTATGTTTATCAGTGTTTGGCCTGCATGTCTATATACCAGTGCCCTCAGAGGTCAGAAGAGTGGGCCAGATCCTCTACAACTGGAGTTATAGATGGTTATGAGACACCATGTGGATACTAGGGAACCTACCTGAAGTCTTCTGTAAGAACAGCAAGTGCTTCTGTTAATGGCTGAGCCATTTCTTTAGCTCCATAACTCCATTTTTATACGTGTTCATAAATTTGCTCATGATTAAACATGGAAGAGGTAAATATTGATCAACTGACACAAAACCCAATGGATCCCTATATTTCTCATGTTTGCTTCAGTACTAGAGGCATGGGAAACGACCATCATCTTAGTTTTAAGGGGCTTCCTGCAGAATAGAGTGTTTTACCATGATCTTAGAGGATCCAGTAGCTCAAATCATCCGCTAAGAATATTTCCTACCTTGTTTATAACACAATATCACACACACACTCTGTATCTTCTTCCTGCAACTAGTGAGACAGGAGTCCAGTGCCAGGGACTATATTCTTGAAGTGATGTCTGGGTCTTCCCTAGCATGAAGTTGATTCTATTGACCAAAGTACCAGGACTTCCAAGGATGGGCTTTTAATCTTCAGGGTCTTATACAGGTTAGAGCTAGGCAAGGATGACCATGGGCGCCTGAGTTCAAAGATAGCAATGAATGAGGTACAACCAAAATTGTAAATGTAAAAATATTAATTTTCTCGGTAATTTGACTACATGGTTCTCCAAGGTGAACTTTGAGGATGACAATGTCTTGTCACATGTCAAATGGTTGGACACACCTGGGAATCATGCTGTTCAACTAACTACTTGTTGAACCTCTCTGAAAAAAACAATACCAAAGCAAGTCACCAAATTGTCCCTGGATTGTTTGAATTTTTTGTTTAGAAACCATCTGATTCTAGGCTTTAACTACTCTGCTGGACAGCTTCTGTTCTATGGGAAGTAACAATGTTACTTCAGGGAAGCACAAGTATATACAAATTGCCATATTAGTCTAGGTCTGCAGTGCCCAGCTTCTCAAACCAGCCTTTTTTCTTTCTTTGAGGAGGGCAATCCCGAGACAACCGTGCCTCAGACACTCTGATCATTTTCTACTTCACTCTTCTGAATCACCAGGACTGATCTGGAAGAAACATACACTTGATTGAGAGTAGCAACAGGCAATGGTCATGAATCGGATTTTCCTCTTGTCACATCACAAGATGAGAAGGGGAGTTGGTGTTACTCTTCAGCCTAGTTTTACACTATTGGAAACAGGTGTTGCAAGAACAGCCCAGCTGAAAGCGACTGGTGCCCAGGACAAAATGACACTGCTGATAGGCCAGTCAAGTGAAAACAGAAACACAAACCAAAGCCAACACACACACACACACACACACACACACACACACACACACACACCTTCATGGAAGAAAATGTCAGGAGTCTAGAGTCTGGAAGTGAAGCCAAGGGCTGCAAGGTGCAGAGACATTCTTCTGTCTCCCATAGCTGTCGTGAAGACTTGGTGAACTGCTCTTTATGGAAGAGCCTAACTTTATGCCCATCTCCTGTCTGTTACTCCCCAAATTTTATTTCCCTTCAATCTTCTGTGTTCTGAACTCTGTCTAGGCAGTTGCCCTTCCTGCCATCTCCAGCTCCTCACCATTGTGGACACTTCTCAAAGTGAAGTCCAGTGGAAGGAAAATCAGGACAAAGATGTCCTCTGGCAACCTGTGATGGAGGACACAGGCCAGGCCTGTCTTTCTATCATGTTCTGGGGGCTGGCATTATGTGTGATAAGTACATGGGGGTGTTCAATAGAAATCAGTGTGCCTTGGGTTTGTATTGGAGGCCAAATCTGGATTGGGTTAACTTGTTTTCTGGATGAGACAGGAATAATTCCAGACTTTCTTTTTTTTTGTTTGAATACTTTGATTTCCTGGCAGTGTCTACAACTATTCTCTAGAATTGCAAGTGAGAAAAGGTAGAATCTGGGTTAGTACAAGGCCAACAAACAACTTCCCTGCACATATAGAGATGAGTGAGGTTTCCAGGGGCCCCTCCAGAGGCTGAGTCAGCCTTACTACAGCACCAGCACGGATGGTATTCAGGTCACACCCCTTTTTGGCCCTGGTAATTCATAGCTGATGAACTTGGAGCCTTCTGTTAAGGAGAAATAATTTAGCATAAATTCCAACACCTACAGACTCAGAATTGGGCAATGTTTGGATCACCGCTACCTCAGCTCTAGCACGCCAATTTCTTCCTCACTGCTAATTATATGTCGTATTTCCTGCACTAACCTTGACCTCTCTAGAGAAGATGATTGAAGAGAAACAGGTGTGTAGGAAATGTGATACATGAGAGGGGTCTGGGATACCTTGGTAACTCAGCATCTACTTTATTTCTTTGTGTTCCTTTTAAATTATTTAACTTTGAAGAGCCCTCAACTGGACTGATTAAAAAAAAAAAAAACAGTAAAACCTCTGAATTCTTGGAAAGAACTCTTATATATTAATTACAACCCACTCCTTCCTTTTACCCAAATAGATGATATTTAACATGTTCTTTTAACACCCAATGTAGTCTCTAAGCTTCTCTAACATCCAGGGAGGATATTGATAGGTGGCTGATTGATCAAGAAGTGTCTGCCACTGCTCCATCTTCTGGAGAAGAGAAAATCATTAAATGGTTGGAGCAATGTGGTGATCAAACTGCATGCTTTGAATGCTTTAGATCGTGGTGGCTTTAACATAGCTATATATGGTTTGTTTCAGGACACTCTTATGGAAGAAAATGTGCAGAAAGTGAAAGAACAGTTAATGACCGGCCATGACATCTCTAAGGAAGGTCACATACTGATGAAAGAGGTAGTTCTATGTCTACACCTCGTGCCGTTATATTCATGAGCAGCCATTTCCTTTAAAAGACAATGGAAGCCAGACATGCTAACTCATATCTGGCATCTCATCATTCAGGATGCCGAGGCAGGAGAACTGCTGCCACTTCAAAACCAGCCTGGGCTACTGAGTGAGTTCCAGGCCAGCTTGGGTTACAGAGGGACACCTTTCCTCAAAACAACAAAACTACCAAGAACAGCAACATAAAGGACAGCAACATCTTGCAGTCAACTGAGAAATCAGGTTTTTTTTTTGCAAGGCTGTTTGATCAGAAAATATTTTTGAAATGATCTTTCTTTTGTTATCCACTTAATTGTAAAGAATATTTCCACCTCCAACTCATTTATGAAATTGGAACTCATTTAGTCCAGACTGACTGGGCACTTAATGTGTAGGCGAGGATGCCTTTAAACTCTGGACCTTTCTTCTTCCACCTTAAGTGCAGGGGTAACAGGTGTGTGTCACCGAGTGCAGCTGTACAATTCTTTCATTTTCAGTAGATTATCCAACATTAACACCTGTTCTGTTCTTGGAGCGTTCCCTCATCCAACGTGTGTCTGTATATCATCTCATGCAAATCGAATCTTGACAATCAGAAAACATTTACTGAGCATGAATTTAAACCTCAGTATCAGCTCCTAGGGAAGGGTGGGAAAATCTCTCCCTGAAGATCATTAAGAACAAAACGGAGGTTGAATGTGGTTGTGCTCAACTTTAATCTCAGCACTAGGGAGGCAGAAGCCAGCAGATCTCTAAGTGAGTTCCTGGACAGCCAGGCTGTTTCAAAACAAACAAACAAACAAACAAACAAACAAACACCAAAAGGCAATCAAACAAAAATAAACAATCAATCAAAGAGCAAAACGGAGGCTAAGCACGTAGCCCCTGCCTAGCAGGTGTTGAGCCCTAAGTTTGATCCCCAACAATGCAATGAATAAACACACACCAGAAAACCTGTATTCACTTTAACCCCTTTTATTAAACACCCACTAAAGCAAGTTACTGTCTTGGCCACACAGTGCCTGCTTCCCACAGTCCTCATCTCAGCAGGTCATTTCTCTTCCCGTTAGAAACCAGTTTACTGTTCAGAAAACATTTCCACCTACAATCGTGTGTGTGTGTGTGTGTGTGTGTGTGTATGTGTGTGTGTGTGTGTGTGTGTGTGTCTGTCTGTCTGTCTGTGTATGGTGTATATGGTACATACATGTATGTGAATGTGTATATGCATGTATGAACACCCATGGGAAAGCCAGAGGAGGGATTGGGAGTCTTTCTCAATTGCTTTCCATTTTCCTCCCTTCAGGCAGTCTCAGCTGAGCTGAAGCTTGCTGTCTTGGATGGGGAGACTCACCATCAAGCTCCTAGGATCTGTCCTCTGCCCATCAACACTTGGGTTATAGGTGTAGGGATTATACCTGGCTTTTCCATAGGTGCTGAGGATTTGAACTCAGGTGTTCATGCTTCATTCACATCAAGTGTACAGTGCATCATCTTTGCAATTAAGATAAAAAAGTATACACTAAAATGATGAACCTATTTTAGTAAATATGTAAGTCAGACACAAATTGATAGTAATTTTTATCAAGACTTTTGTACTGTAAGTGATTGGATGAGCTACATATTTGTATGATTGGCAGTACAGTGGCTGTATTACATCACAAGCATGTGAGAAACTGGTACAGTCTGGACTCACTCTGTCACACTGAACAAGACCCAGAGGAAATTACTTTTACTTATGGGGACAATTGGGAAAGAAGATAATACACACTCTAACAATCCCAGCTGAACTTGCCTGTGTGCTGAGACAGTGAATGATCACTAGGGATCAAGACATTACACTAGTTGATGGACCAGGTGAAGTAAATCAACCAAACTGGAGTTTCAATAGGACCGTGGCTGGCTGAATTAACGTATTTGTGTATTGTAGTAGAAGATAGTTATGTTAAGTAGACACTAGTTATGTTAAATAGTATAACCATAGCCAGCACTCAGGCATCCAGGCAGAGAGCAGTCATTTCTGCTTCTGCACGTGGCACTGACTCTATAGCACCAACCAATAAAACGTGGAGATTCTGTGTGGGCTTGAGGTTGCCTATTTGTGAGATAGATTTTACCACTTACCATAATCAGAAAAATGCTAATAAGACTATGACTGGGTCTGCATTATCAGCCTTAGAGCAACACTTATTTTGTAATATCAATAAACTGTCAATTGTGGAGGTGCAGAGAGATGTGTGTAGAACATATTAAAGGACATGCTTTACTTCTTAAATGTGCACTGGTAAGAGCCCCTGACAATTCCTGTTTGTTTCCTATAGCTTGCCAGTATGTTCTTATCTGAGGATGAAAATTTCCTCCTGTTCTTTCGCCTGGAAACTCCCTTGGATAACAGTGTGGAGTTTATGCAGGTGAGTACTTGCTGTCTCCATGGAAAAGGAGGGTAGGTCTGCCATCTATCCCTGTCTGGTCTCTAAGGGAGAGGTATGCCCAGAGGACAAGGTCAAACAACTAAGCCTCCAAGAGAGCTTATTTATCCCTCCTTCTATTGGACTGCGTCTGTGCTGGAGGCTTCTTTAGCTGGGGCCAGGGGAAGGCCTAGACAAGGGTCAGGCAGGTATATTGAAAGGATGGAATGAGAGAGGCAGGAGGCTGCAGCAGGGGTGTGTGGAGGCTGGAGAAGCTGAGCCCCTCTAAAGATACAGCACAGTCAGAATGCAATTTGTTGGAGTGTTATCCAAGGCAGTGGACCTTGTACTGAGTAAATGCTAAAGACAGTATTGATAGCTCATCTGGCCTCTGCCCCTTGGATACCCACTTCCTCAGCCTCTAGAAGGTGAATGTTACATTGATGAAGAATGTCAGGGAAGTACAGCTCAGAGTTTGTCCCAGGCCACAGCTATAGAGTCAAGACAGCCCCATATCCTGGTTCACTCCTGAAGTCGTTGCCATAGTTTAGCATCCTTTGAACAATTGTTTATCCTACTGATAAACTGTGTAAGCATATGCTTAGTAAACTCATAAAACTTATTTGTATGGACCACAAATATATTCCAGTAATCCAAGACATGCAACATAAAATAATTATATATTTTTAAATCAATAAAAGTGGTAAGAAGAACATATAAAAAGAGGGTGAAGTAAGCAAGTCTCCAGATAGCTGCTGAGGTTCCTAGGCCTGTGCTGTGGGTTGTCGTGGAAAGCAACTGCAAAGATTCAGTCACGACCAGAGTTAACTTTTTAAGAGTCTCTTCCTTTTGACTGAATAATTTAGCTTTTTATGAATAGTGCCCCATATCATGGACTCATCTACAGAAGCATCAGAGAAAAATCCCATTGCTGAACACTGCATCACTAAAGAGCAAATCTCTATAGAATAATGACGGAGGAGGTTTAGTATAACATTGAGTATCTCCTTTGATTGCTACCCATCTCATATCTATCTATCTATCTATCTATCTATCTATCTATCTATCTAATCTATTTTTTATTTATTTTACTTTTGCAATGAGGCCTGTATCTGAACAAGGGACTCATGGCTAGGAACCCCAGGATCCTCCTGACTCCACCTCTCAGTGCTGAGATTACAAATGCATGACATCACATACAGATTTTCACATAAGTGCTAGGGATCTGAACTCAACAGGTTAGCACAGCAAGCAGTGCACCCACTGAATCATCCTCTTAGCCGTCCTTTTCTGCATCTTAAATGTCCTTCTTTGTGTTCTTCCTATTTCACAGGGTGTAACCTTTCCTACGAGTCTATTGGCAATATGCTTTTCCTCATTGCCTGGACATCTTTTTATTTTGTGTTCTTAAAAACAGGCTTACTAAATAGTCACATAAAATATTCCGTCCTCCAGTGGCTCAGATGCAACATTACTATAACATCATTAAATGGAGACAGCTTGGAGACAAGCATTGCAAAAATCTGTGTTTCTTAAAATGACTTGACATTTTCACCATCAAGTTATACTTACATATAAAATTTAGACTGTGGATCACATTTTGTACATAGATTTTAGAAGCCTGGCGAAATCAATCATAAATTACATAGACAGAAAGAATTGACATTTCTGAATCATTCTCTCATTAAATAATATCACAGGACCAGTGTCTCACATTATCCCTGCAGAGTCTACAATCAGATTGTGTCTAGAAATTAAGACCCTCGCAGTTGATATATTTGTTATTTTGCTGATGCTAAATCTCCAACAAAACAAAGACAAAATATCCAACAAAAGCAAACTAAGAAGAGTTTATTTTGGCTTACAGTTGGACTGTCCCGTCCATCATAGTGAAGAAAGGCACGGTGGCAGGGCCGAAAGCAGCTGATCGCCTTAGGTGTGCGGGTAGAGACCTACCCAGGAGGTAGAGAAAGAAGGATGAGTGCTCAGCTGGCTCTTTTTCTTTTATTTAGTTGGGACACCTGTCTGTGAGATGGTCCTGCTCACACTCATAGTGTTTCTTCCCTTCTATGTTAAACCTGTCTGGAGAGACTCTCAGACACAGGACAAGTGTATCTCCTAGGTGATCCTAAATTACTAAAGTTGACAATGAAGATTTATAATCATGTTTAATAACAGGTTCCCCTAGTATGATGGAAGGATAATTTTATCTACTAAAAATTAAAGCAAAATCAATCATCCAACACCTTCATGATGCTTTTCATTCTGTGGCTCCATGGACTAATCAGAAGTGCTGATTATTAAGTAATGAGCATTAGTGCTGCTCACAGGTGTTCAGCTGGTGTCTCCTAGTTCAGTATGCAGTTACGTCTTCAGTCCATCAGCGCTGGCCGCAACCATCAGGAGGGATGGCTTGCCACTGTGAAGTATCAGCGGCCTTTTATCCCCTCTACTTAGAGTCAAGGCCACACAGGAAGAGTCCTTAGGAAACTTTCCACTGGGTGTTTGCTTTCTTGATCATTGCTTTTAAGTTTTCCTGAGACAGAATCTCTATGTAGCTCACACTGGCCTTGAGCTTGTAATCTCCCTGCATCATTCTCCAAAGTTCTGGGATTTTAAGCATGCACCATCAGGGCCAATTGTTTGTTTTGTTTTTATTTTGGCAGGGTCATGCTGTGTAGCCCGGCTTACTTAGGGTAGTGCCAGGGTTATGTGAGCAACCTTGTCATGTTCTTATTCTCTTAGCGTTTGTATTCCCCACCGCCACCTCCCAAAGTTCATCATTTTGTTAAGATAGTACTCTTTAGAGTTTAATTGTAAATAGATAACACACGCATTTTCCACTTCGTGTTGCCTTAGATTTGTCTCCCAGGAGTGCAGGTCGCTGGGTAAACCTACTTGTGTGGTCTGAGCTCAGCATACATGCTTAGGATACATTTTGTTTGTTTCTTTGTCTTGTGGGGTCTCTTAGAACTCTCACGTTCTCGACAGCTTAGCTCTATATTTAAGGCAGTATTTACATAGTATCTTGCATTTTTGGATTTTTGAGTGCAGAGAAGATATTTCTGCTTTCTGTACTGTCCTCAATAGAAGTCTCTCAGGATTCTATTTTGCCTTTTCTAGCGGAGGCATGGTCCACTTGAGTGGTTCTGGGAGATCTCAGTGATGTATCTGCATCTCTGCTGAATTCCACCCAAACAACTGCTGTCACCACAGCCAGCCTTGAACTCCATAGAAAATGTTTATTTCCATCCAATTAGGGACCATTTTCAGATGCTGAATCACAGGAACCCAGTAGAAGTCCCCCTCCCCCTGAAATATCTGAGGATGTTCAGTGTTATGCTTTGAAAATAGGAACTCCTTCCTGGGTTCATATGTTTGAACACTTGATTCTTTTTGGTGACATTGTTCCGGAAGTAGAGCCTGACTGTTGGAAATAAGCCCGTCCCTACTTTTTATCCATTCTCTGCTTCCTGACTGTGGATACAATGTGACCAGCTGCTTTGAGCTCATATAGTCAAACATTCTCCACCATGATGGACTGTGTTCTCTTGAACCATGAACTGAAATAAACCTCCCATTAAGGCTGCTTCTTGTCAGATAACAAGAAGTCAGGTAGCTAAGATTTGAGATAAATGGCTTTTGTGTGTTTCAGATTTGGCGAAAGTACGATTCGGACAGCAGTGGCTTCATATCAGCTGCTGAGCTTTCTGTAAGTGTCAGTGGGAAGTAACACTGGGTGAAGGGTTGGTTTGGTCATCTTTAGAATACATAATATGCATGCATGCATGCATACATACATACATGCATACATACATGTATGTATGTATATATATGTAAATGTATGTATGTATTTCTATGGATCCAAGACATGCGGCTCTGGATTTGTTTCTTAAAAAACAGCCTGACCAAAGGAAGTGTATTGCTATAAAGATTTAAAAAACAAGGCTGGCAAGGTGCCTCAGCCTGTAACTGCATAATCCTAATGTCCTGACTTCAATCCTTGGAACCATGTAAAGGTGGAAGGAAAGAAACAACTCCACAAAGTTGTCCTCTGACTTCTACATATTGTTGCACATCCTACATGTTATATGCATGTATATAAATGTATATGCATGCAGTCACACATATGTACACACACTGGTTCGCACATACACACACACACACACACACACACACACAGCATAGTACAATAATAAGTAAAACTCTTATAACCAATAAACAAATGAGAAAACAATAAAGGTTTGGAAAGTGCTTGTCATGCTGCTGTCTTTGGGAGAAAGGCAAATGAAGCTTTTAGGACACGTTTCATACTTGGAGTTCTTCTCTGGCTTCCAAGAGCATCTTTCAGTGGCAATCCTCCACTCTAATACTTAATGCTTATTGAACATTTTATTTCCTCCATGAAACAAGTTGTGATCTCCATCCCTATAGAAAAGACCTTAAACAAGTTTATATCTATTTGCTCACTGTGTTCAATGTCACTTTTCTCTTGGTTGCACAGAACTTTCTCCGAGATCTTTTCCTCCACCACAAAAAGATCATTTCTGAGGCTGAACTGAAAGAGTATACTAGCACCATGGTGAGTGAAAGCCTGTAGGCCCTGACGGGGAGCTTGACTGTGTCTCCTCATTTCCCCAGGAAATGTTTACTGATAGAAATGTTTGCTGCATGAGAAGAGCCTGGCTCTGGAGCAGTGGCTAAAACTGAGCTGTCGTAGCCTTTTTCTTGCAAAGAGATGCATGCATTTGAGAAAGAAGGCTGTTTAGCTGCCTTTGGAGATACCAGGAATGTCCAGGAAATACTAGGTCTTTTAAGAACCTTGCTAGCAAACTCAATGCTCATTAAAGTTACACAGAAACAAGTAACCATGGACTTGTACCATCAGGACTCAACAGATATGGGCTATCACAACGATGGTGATTCTACTCATTGAGCTCGTGGGCTCAGAGCAGAGGAAACTCAGATGGGGATGGGGATGTTGTCTAGGTAGTGCCAGGCAAAGGGAGCTGATGGCTGTGAAGCACTTTGCATTCCATGGAGAACACATATGCCCTCAATGGTTAGCTCTCATGTCATTATCTTACACTCCTCTTGTGGCATTCTTGATCCAGATGACCATGAGATGATTTCAGTGTCAAAGTCCTTGAAAACTTATTAGACAGACAACGTTGTATCTGGTGGGCTCCTCATGGCTCCATTCCAGTGATCACGCAGTGCTCTCTATAGCTTGTGTTGACTCGCCCCTGCTGCTGTGCCAGCCTCTGCCCATCTCCAGACCTGTGCTTTATTCTCACCACATCTGATTTCTTAATCAGTAAGCAAGTGACTTACAGACACAGTCTTAGTTGTGTACTATAGGAGTGTCACATTTATTTTATATTTTTAACTTAATGCTTATTAGAATTTCATACGTGAGTACTATATTCATATCACTATTTAAAAACAACAGTGTCTCTATGTTACATTTAGATACAGAGAATCCTGAGAAGAATTTATGAGAAGTTGGAGCATATCCTACTGAGAACAATATGTGGATTTTTGTTCAATTGTGGGCTAATGGTGTGTGTGTGTGTGTGTGTGTGTGTATGTGTGTGTGTGTGTGTGTTGGAGGTATGCATGTGAAGGTGTCATTAAAAAAATGGGGATGTCTCACTGACCTGAGGTTTATTGGTTAGCTGGTTAAACTGGTCGATTAGTGGTCCCCAGGGATCCTCAAGTTTGTCTTCCCAGTGCTGGGACTACACGTATGCTACCACCCCTGTATTTTAAACTGTGGGTTCTTGGAATTAAACTCAGTTCCAATGTTTGCAGAAGCTGTTCACCCACTGATATATCTCCCCAGCCCCATATCTAGGCTTTTAATCGGGTTTTTCAAATACTGACACTCATTTTAAAGATTAGCCAACCAAGAAAAGCTGTTTCTTAGCCAACAGCACCATAAAGCTAAACTTCCTGCATGTCAGCCCTGGATACCTCCAGAATCTCCCTCTGGACTCTGGCCACTCTGAATGCTGGCTCAATAATGAGTCTTCCCAGGGGAGAAAAAAAAAGCTATTTTGACCATGATGACTTCTAAATAAGAAAAGATGATGTCCAAGAGAGAACCAAATCCCAGGACAGAGTATCAAGGAAGCATTTTGGCCTCTTACAATGCTATTTGTTCTAACTGAATGCAGGATGTTATTGGGAATCCCAAGCAGACATGAGCTCAGCATTAAAAAAGCAGGAATCTCCCAGGAGCAGGGAGCAGCTGTCCTTGTTCAAGAGCCTCCGAGATCCTTCTAACCTAAGCTCCAGTGAAGCTCTGTCATGGAATAAACACGGAGGGGAATTCATTTGCATTTTTCAGGGGGCCAGACTAGAAGGCCTTGAGCATATTTTAAACAACAGTTGAACAGAATGTTAGCCTGTCTGTTGTTATCTCAATTTAATTAATTTGTAAAACATGAACTACATGATGCATATATTTACATTTAAATCTCTAGCAACTTTCTAGCATTCTTCCAGCTTGAAGCTGTTTGAGCAAAGGGCTTCTGCCTATTTCCAGCTATCAAGCCTGATCTCCATTTTCTGCTTCCTAAGATAGCTCAGTGTTTTTTTTTTTTCTTTTTCTTTTCTTCCTCTGGTTCTCATGCATCCTTCAAGATTCAGGTAGATGCTATCTTTCCCTAAGAAATCTTCACAACTTCCTTTCGTAATGAGCACCAGTACCACTCTCTAGCCTGTTGTGCATGTCACCACCTTAACACCGTACTCCTTCACTTAAGTCATCCCACAGATACTGTTAAGTGCTTATAGTGCCCCAGGCATGAGTCTAACAACTGGGGATTCAACAGTGAGAAAGCAGGCAGCAAACAATACATGCAATAAATAATAAATGATTTTGCACGACAGAAAATTAGGGAAACGTAGAGATGGATATGCCAGCATGGTAGAGAATTGAGGGTGTCCTAGTCTCATTTATGTTGCTGTGATAAAAATATTCTAACAAAAAGAAAATCAGTGGAGAAAGGGACGTTCCATCAACCTATAATGCATAACTATGGGGCAGTCAAGGCAGGACCTCTCAAATGCTAGTCACATCATATCACATCCCCTATCAAGGGCAGGAGAAATGACTATGCTTCTATGCTCACTTGCTTGTTTTTGCTTAGCTTGCTTTCTTAACTCTTATGTAGGCTAGGGACCCCTGCCTAAGGAGTGGTACCACCCATTGTGGGCTGTGTCTTTCCACGTCAATTAACTTAAAATAATGCCCCATAGACATGTCCCAGGTCAGCCCAAATGTATGTAATTCCTCACTATGACTCTTTGCAGGCAATTCTAAGTTGTACCAAGTTGACAATTAAAGCTACCTATCACATCCTTATGGCCTACATCCTATCTCCAAGTCCCTGCCCTCGCAGGAGTCTGAAACTCTTCAGGCTACCTATTGTAAACTGAACTGAATTTTCAGTTGTTACCTAAGAACCAGCTATGACTGAACTAAGATAGAGTAAGTAATGATTCTCTTGGTGATCTTCCTATATCCCTTGCTTGTGTTCCTCATGACCCTGCATAATTCACATGGGGGGTGCTTTATTAAGCATGGTCCTGTGTTTAAAATTTTTCCTTTCCCTTAAAATGAATGCTCAATTAATGCTCCAGGGCCAAGTAGACATGGTACCTGGCAGAGCCAAAACTCAGTATTTATGTCTTTTTCTGGGGTCCTTTACTTCAGAAAGATTCTCAAGCAGCCTGAGCACTGGTTATGAACCATGATGCCTTCCAAGGGCAGGGCTGGCAAGAAAGAGAGGGGTAAGAACATGTCTTGGTTCACCAGAATTCATATCACACTGTTCATTTCCTTGAATTGAGTCTGTGGTCTCCCTTTGGACTATGTGTGTGTAATGGCCATAGTCAAATTGCAATGGGCAGAGGAGCAATGTTAACAGAGATATAACATTTTCAGGGGGCATATGTGATAGTATGGGGAGAAAGGGAGGTATAGTATTGATATAGGAACTAGATAAGACACATTGAAAAGGCCTTGTGACATCATTGTCTTAACTTACTCTGTCCTCTATGTCCATCTTCCAACGAATGAATTACTTAGTATCCCTACAGGAGTCATGCTTGCCTTCAGATAATTGTAGTTTGTATTAGCCCCTGAGCATTAAAGGGCTCTCCATGTCACACTCATCTGAGCAGTCAGGTCTCTTCTAATATTTACTATCCTGTTGAATGGCAAGAAACTTAGGAATGACAATAGGGTGTTTTAGGGCATGGTGTTAAAGTCCCCCATCCTCAGTGATCATATAGACCTCAAAATGTCTCAGAAGATGCCCTTCCCCCTGAGGGATGTCACTCTGAGGGATGTTTCCCTGTGGTTAAGTTTGATCTGGTAAATCAGTTCATGAAAATGTGTGAGTTCTGTCCCTGACAAATGTTTGGGGAGGAATTGTAGAGAAAGATGTAGTAGTACCTGCCTTAGCCTTAGAAACTACTTCAGGAGAATCTGCGGAGGCAGGCGAAAGAACCAGAAGCTCTCTGGTTATCCCTGTTGTCTTCACTGTGAATGTGAACACAAATGTCACCAGCACAAAGCATCCACCAGTAGGAGGAGTTGAGTTCAAGCTTCCTGCCCATCACTCATTGCTAGTACTACCTAGCCCCAAGTTTAGGAAGCTGTCTACCTTCTGAGGGCTGAGAGATTCCCTAGGAGTGAATCACATTTCTGCTGCTTTCATGACTTCTTACTCAGCAATGAACACAATCATTGCAAAGCTGCACTGAAGATTTCTTTTCAGGTTTAGCATGAATTGCTTTACTTAAGAGTGTAACCTACCAGATGAATTCAAATTGACCCTAATGAGGATGGCTGCATTTGAGAGCTGTGTGACACATGGCTAACAAATGAGCTGAGGGTGAACAGCCAGTCAGAAGAGACAGGCTCATACATGCATGCCACATCCTGCCCCATCCTTATTAATGTTCTTCTGAAGGAGGAAGGGAAGGAAGAATGCTACTAGCTCCAGGCAGGAGAGACCATGTATCTAGATAGGATATCATTAGGTGGTATTTAATTTCACTAAGTGCAAGCTAATAACTCTGGGAGTTGCTATTACAAAACAGCAAATAAAGTTCCGATACTTTGACAGAGAAAATTCTATGAGGTTAAGTTGGCCTTATGAGTTGATATAAAGCCGGTCCAGTCCGAGGTCTATCTGGACTCATTTGTGGGATATTTTCTCTTCCTATGTCTACTCTCCACATGCTGATGAGGTTAACCAGTTTTAAATTCAAGAAAATGCCTGAAAGCCTCAGCTTATGTCTCTGACTCAGACCACTCTTTTGAGCTTCTCGGACGAGCACACATGGGTATGTGTCTCCACTTTCGTACCCAACATCTCAAACGTAGCAGGTCCAAAGTTGACATTTTGCCTTTGTCTCACAGACTCGCTGTACAGGTGGCTCCCTTCATTTTGATTGATGTGTCAAGGCAATCAGTCTTGATCCCTTCCCTGCTACTCTAATTAGCAAATCCTATTGACTGCTACAAACATGTCACTATAACTAAATATTTGAAGCACAGTAATATGTAAAAAAAGAAAAGGTTTATTTAGCTGACAGTTAGGGAGGCTCCTGGTGAGGAAGTCATGGCAGGTGCATCCTGATGGCAGAAGTGTATATGAGCCATAACAGAGTGAGACCAGAAGCAGGGGGACATTCCAAGGTCATGCTTAGTCGGCTCATAACAAGTCATTCTTCCTGGAACCAAGTCACACAAGACCTACACCAATCCCTCCCAATGAGCTAACCACCTCCCCCTGGGTCCCATCTCTTAAGCTTTCCCCCACTCAACACTGGCTCAAGGGAGAAGAAGTTAAACTTTCCTACCTCAACATCATCCCCTGGAGACCAAGCTTCCAGCATGTATTCTTTTAGGGGAGACTCACAAAATAGCAGCTGTATTGAAATTACATGAATCTGGCCATTCCCACCAGGTTCTAAGCCACAAGGATGGGTCACTGAAGATGTTTCGTTACCTTGACTCTTACCTTCTGTGTTCTCTGTTGAACACAGCAGCCTGTGATTCAGTTACATTGTAGCCAGATCACGGCTGAGATTAAACCCTCCAATAACTATTGTCTTTCAGAGAAAATGACAAAGTGTTACTACCTGCTTACTTACCAAGCCACCATTTGTCTCAATTTATCCCCTTTTTCCACTTCCACCTATCACATGATAGACTTTTCCTGAGGAAAGAAAACACATGCCTACTCACTCCAGAAAGGGAAGCCACACAGGCCAAAGTGAACAGATAAGTTTTTATGTGAACATAGTATAGGTGAGGGGCTGCTGTACAAGAGAAGGAATGACTCAGGGATGACAGCTACATCACTGAGAAGACCACTCCAACATCTGTTGTGACTCACAAAAGCCATCTTCCTGGAACTCTCTGAGAATGTCTACTCTGCAACTTGGTTGGTCTCTGCTTCTTCCAGGCATCTTGACTTCTCTAAGAGTCTCTAGGTGGCTATGCTGGTCTGACAGTGCCCAGCACTCCCACTGCTTATATAAACTTGACTGGTCTAGAAAATCTATTCAGTTTCAGGAACTTTCTGAAACTATTGAGTTGTTCCTTCCTGAGTTTTAAGGAGCTTCCTGCAGAATGGAATGTTTTGCCTCCTTTTAGAACAGCCTGAGTCTTAAGGAGCTCCCTTCCAGGACGGAAGGTTGAATCTCAGAGGACATTGCTATGTAACACAGCTCAGGTCTTTCTACACTACCACCAAATCCACTTTCTAGTAGGTTCACTGGCTAAGTATTGTGTCATGGCTTGTATATCTTCTATCTCTGTAAAATACCTTTAATCCAGAAATGCATATGACTTTCACGACTTCTTCTCAACCTTTTCTCAAAAGTTGCCTTCTCCCTAAGGGTGCCTGTTATTATGAAATGGTTCATCACTGTCAGGTTACAATCACCTAGGAGACAAGCTTCTGAGAGTGTCTATGTGTTTTAAATCTCATGTGTATGTGGTATGTTTGTATGTGTGCTTGTGTGTGCATGTGCATGTGCAGGCTTGCTGGTATGTAACTGCATGGACTCCCATGCCATGGTACACATATGGAGGACATAGGATCGCTTCCAGTGTTAGGCCCTTACCTTCCATCCTGTGGGAGATAAGGCCATCCTCAGGTTAGCTGGCAGTCCAGCTCCTGAGAATATCTCCTGTGTCTGCCGCTTCCCAATGCCTGGATGAGCACCAGGGTTACAGATGTACCCCCAAGCCCAGCTTTGACATGGGTACTAGAGGGCGGATTCAGGTCTTTGTACATGTATAACAGGCACTTTTGCCACGTGAGCTCTCCAACTCTGACTTGAAATAAACCTCAAAGCCAGTGTTCACATGGGTGGGGTCTAACTGACCACACTCCAGTTCTCCCTTAAGCACCTCTCAGTCTAGAAAGTTTTCCTTTTGAGTTTGCTCAACAAGAGTAAGGCCCATGTCTTTCTAGTGAGGTTACTATCTGCTTAAGACTCAATCTTGTTTTCTATTAAGACAGAATCCCCTGCAATTATGGCATCACAAAGGATGAGGTACAGGCCACACTCAAAACATGTGTCATTATATGACTAGATATAAAATTTATATTTAAAGGCTGTGATATGACATGTGAGAAGTCCCAAGAATCAATTGTAACATCTGCCACTTCTCTGGTTTTGCTTTATAAGACTGAGTCTTACTATGTACATCAGGTTGGCCTTGAACTTGCACCAATCCTCCTGCCTCAGCCTCATAAGTGCTGAGATTATAGACACGTACTAGCACAGGTTTATGCCTGTTTTAGTAAGTTCTATAATGAACAAGTTTTGATGAGAAAGTTTGGAGAGAATGGGTTTTTGAATTAATTTCAAATTCTAAAGCAAAAACAAAACCAAAAACAAACAAAACCCCAAAAAAACAAACTGAATTTGGAGGAGAAAGGATGTAAAACAAATGTATTTTCACAAGCACTCGTACCTCCTTTGCCTCTGCAGTCTCCTCACCTGATGTGTCCACAGATACTCTAGAGCTCTGGAACGTGAAGTCACATTCCAGCCCATACATGTAAAGGAGTATGTTCCCCCCCATATTGCCTAACCCCAGAGTGGTCTTCTGTTCTGAGGTTAGAACAGACAGTTTTAGCTTTTAATACTATCTCACCTGAAGTCTTGTATAGGTTGATAGTGCAAATAGGCTCTTTGGACAATGCTGGGTGTCTTTTGCCCTCCGCTCTGCTCAACGAGACATCATCTGTAAGATTCCCTCACCCAAGGCTTGGTTGCTGAGATGCCATAGGTGAGATACTTAAAACCCCCGACTCAAAGTGAAACACCAGATTTTAGGCTGTCATCATTATGTGTAGGGTTAATGGGGTTCTGAGTCTTCTCTGCTACAGGGCTCGGACAGCCAAGTCTACACAGAAAAACCCTGTCTTGAAAAACAAACACATAAAATAAAGAACTTCTGGTTTGAGCATTTGTCACATCCATGTTCCTTTCTGTCTTTTAGATGAAGATCTTTGACAAAAATAAAGATGGCCGTTTGGATCTTAATGACTTGGCAAGGTGAGTGGTACAGAAAAGTGGTGAACTCAGAAGCTCCTGTCCCAGGGTCTGATGGTAACACACACATCCTTTGAAATCTGAGAGCCACTCTTGCCTGGAGTCTAAGAGACCAGGTTCATCTTATTAAACCAACTGCAGTGCTTTTAAATCATTTTGGGTAACAGATTCCTTTGTGAAGATAAACAAAGCTCGATTCTGCCTAAATGCACAATGCACATATATAGAACATATTGGTGTATATTATATTATTACATTATTTATATTAGAAATTCATAGATGGGTCATTGGTGGATTTTTCCCTCAGAGGCCAGGCAGGATTCCCCTCCAAACCCAAAATCTAAAATAATAATAGCAATAATGGTGATAACTATAATAAAATAATAACAAATGAAAGAAAGAATCATAAAGCTATTTACTGACTTTGGGAATGTTAAATTGTTAATTCAGAACAACATTAAAAACTGATTGAACATTAGTAGAGCTGGCCTTTGGGGGTTGCCTACCCTCTGTAGTTCCTGAAGGCTTGTGGGGGAGAGGGGAGGATGAGAACAGGAGCAACATAGTCCATGAGTCTGTGAGGTGACTTGGGATTGATAACCTTTGCTGTACGTATTGTTATGTAGCTTTCTATTACTGTAATAAAATGTCAGAGATAGGCTAACTTATAAAGAGAAAACATTTACTTATTTCACCATTTCAGAAGCTGGATATCAAAAACGCATAGCACAATTTCTAGAAAGAATTTCTTGGCTGTGTCACACCATGATGGGAACATTTAGGTATTGTGTATCTCCTGTCTGTGTATCCCTCCACCTGTTTCTTGTTCTTGACACTGAATCCATGGCCTTTGCATATGCTAGGCTCAGCACCTGGTCCTGAAGGTGGTCTGTGAATAGACACAATAGGAAGACTCTTGTTGGTTCTGGCCATAATATTGAGTCTGATACACTAGATGGATTTCTGTGTTTCCTAGGACCAGATGTATTCCCAATTGACTCTCCCCAGGTCACTTTGATGAAAAAGGGACACTGAGAGACCAGTCAAAGAAGAATAAAGTGTTTCTCTCCACAGAGCCCAGCAAGGGACCTCAACCCCACAGTCCTGTTTCTGCGCCCTCTATCTCACATGTTTGCTTGAGCATTTAAGGCAGAATTCCCACCCTGTCCTCAAGCAGAGTCAAAAAGATTTGAGAGTCACTCCTCAGAAGAAAAGTCAGTATCCAGAAGATAGATTGAAATCAGGACATATGGGCAACAACAAGCGCTTTAATCTCATTGTTCACTATGCTGAAGTCTGCTTAGTCTCAGCTTTCCATATAAATAGAAACAGAAAATGTAGCTTAGCACTAGAGGATCTCAGTGTCCAGCATGTATAAGACTGTAAGTTCAGTTACACACATACACACTTGCATGTGCACACACATACACACACAGATAGAGGTAGAGAGAAATATGAATATAAATGGAATCATGCATGTACTTTTCAGGTCTCGTTATATCACTTGCAATAATGTTTGAAAGGTGTGTCTATTATGACTGACCACTGGCCCATGAATTTCTTGTTGTGACTGGATAATCTGCTGTATATATACCGTATTTTGCCCCTTTATCAGCTGACACACACACTTGGGTTCTTTCTACTCTTCAGATACTATGAACGGTACTGCTGTGTGAGTGTGATGAGCCTTTCCCCTTGGTTATATTCTTAGAAGTAGAATTTTGGTTCATATGGTAATTCTATATTTAATTTTCCATGACGGTGCCAAATAGAAACACTAGTCTCCATACTGCCTTGATGGCTGGAGATTTATAGTAACTTTTAGAGTGTAGAGTCTTCCATTCTTGCTTTTTAAAGATTGTTCTGGCTCTTCTGGTCCTATTTGCATATCTTGATGTAATTTTAGAATCAGATAGTCAGTTTCTGCATAACAGCAACTCAGATTTCCATGAATTTTGTTCTGACTTTGCTGTTCAAATTGGGAAATGTTGTCATCCTAATAACATTGTCTTCAAGTTTACAAACAACATTTGTCTTTCCATCTTTTCAGGTCACTAGTTTCTCTAGAAGATATTTTGGAGTTTTCTGTCTATAAGTTGAGCATATTCTTGTTCAATTTATTCTCAAGTATTTGATTTTATTTTTGGATGATGTCATATATGGAATTCTACATTAAATCCTGTCTTAGGTTTTTTTTTTTTCCTTCTGTTGCAGTGATAGAACACCACAACCAAAAGCAATGTAAGCGGTTATTTTCGCTTACAGTTCCAGAGAGATAGACTCTAGAATGACTGGGAAAGCCGGGCAGCAGGAACAAGAAGCTGCCTGATCACACTTTCATCCACACACCGAAAGTAGTGAGAGAGAACAGGATCCTCAAAACACTCCTTTAGTGATCTACTTCCTCTTTCAAGGCTACACCTGTTTAAGGTTCCATAACAGACCCCGACAGCACCACTAACAGGGAACCAAAGGTTCAAACACATGCATCCATGGAGGGACATTGCTTATTCTAATCATCACAGTTCTGTGTTGTTTTCCTTTTCTCCCCTTCCTCCCTCCCTCCCTCCCTCCCTCCCTCCCTCCCTCCCTCCCTCCCTTTTTTCCTCCCTACTCTTCTTTTCTCCCTCCTCATTCACCTCTCCATCCCTTTCCTTCATTTCCTTTTGATTTGATACAGGGTCTCCGTGGTCCAGGCAGGCCAGCCTTATACTCACAGTACTCCTGCCTCAGGCTCCAGACTGCCGTGACCACAGGTGTGCGGTTGGTTTTGCTTTGGTCATTTCTAGTGTACAGAAATGCAATTGAGTGTTCTGTGCAGATTGCATCTCTTATAACTGTGCTAGTCTTGTTTATTAGCCTGAATAGGTTTGTGTTTGGGTTTTTGGATTATATTGATGATTATGCCATTTGCAAATAGCAATAGCCTGTTTTATTCTTTACACATTTTTCCTTTTAATGGAGCTGTTAACACCCACACACTTAATGTAATTACTGATGAGGTCAGGATTTATGTTTGCTATTTTTCTATGTTATTGTTGTTGTTCCTTTCTATCTTATGTTAAGAAGATATTTTTAGTGAACTTTTCACTTTCTTGTTTATTTCACTATTTACATATTTTGTGTTATTTTCTTAGTGTTTCTCTGGCGTATTACTATTAACAAATCAGATTAATAGCAGCTTAATTTCAATATTATAGTAAATTTGTACTTGTTTACAGTTCTAATCTACAGTTCAAATCCTCCGTGTTCTTCAGGTTCTTCAAACCACAGCATTACGTGCTGTGTACCTATCAACACCTATCCATCTTTTGTTTGTTTGTTTGTTTGTTTGTTTGTTTCTTTCTTTCTTTCTTTCTTCTTTCGTTCATAGGCTATTGCTGTGTTGTCTAGGCTGGCCTTGAACTTGTTCAAGGGATTCTCATATCTCGGTCTTCTGAGAACCTGGCAGTCCGGGACACACATGTTGAATAATTGCTTGATGGGGCTAAAACATTATAACCAACAAAAAATGATATTCATCCTGACTCTTTTTAAAATATGTATGTAAAATATGTATGTATGAGGGCTTTGGCTGCATGTATGTATGTCTGTATGAGGACTTTGGCTTCATGTCTGTGCATCCCCAGAAAGTGGACTTGGTTGTGAGCTGTCATGTTCTGGGAATTGAAGCTACAGTCGATGCTTTCCCATCAGGAAGGGTCTTTAAATTTTTTTATAGTGAAGGCTAATCTCTAGGAAAGTTTGCCCATCACTCTCCTTGCATTTATCTTGTAGGAATGCCTATATTTCAAGTGCCTGATCGTCAGGATAACATGCAAACCATCAACCTTCTCCTCTCTCTCCAAGCTGTGCATTTGCTGACTGATGGGAAAACTTACTATTCTTTTTCCTATTTAGAATTCTGGCTCTTCAGGAAAACTTCCTTCTTCAGTTTAAAATGGATGTAAGTGGTGACATTTCTGTTGATGGGTTTCTGCTACCCATGTTTCTTTATGTATCCAGAGAGAAGGAAGGAAAGAGTGGTAAATTATTTATTTTTCTTGTCATTATAATAAATGCCTGGTTAAAGTAAGCCAAAGGAAGAAAGACTTATATTGGGTCACAGTTATAGAGATTCAGTCCATGGCAACCATCATGGTGGGGGAGGTTCCCGGTGGCAGGAGCTGCTTGTAGCTGTGGAAATGGGAGCTTGCTTACCTTTGAGTAGAACAGAAAGCAGAGACCCAGTAGGAGGTTGGGTTGTGCTATAAGCTCTACAGACATACTACTTGGTGCCTCACTTTCTCCGGCAAAACCCCATCTTCTAACAGTTCTACAACCTTCCAAAACAGCCCTACCAGCTGGCAACTAACTGCAAACACATGAGCTGGTGGGGGGACATTTTCTCTTCAAACTATAACAGAAGACATCCATTTGTCTTTTAACTCTTTTAGAGGCTCACAACACTCAAGGCGGACTCAAGAAACATTAATGGTTGTTGATTCAAAGTTTATACAGTACATACTAGTGGCTATGCATTGCTGGACTGACATAACATTTTCTTCAAACCCAGGCTTCTTCTACCGAAGAAAGGAAGAGGGACTTTGAGAAAATCTTTGCCCATTATGATGTTGTAAGTGATCTTCATGCTGTGAAGCAGTCTTTAGGTAGAAAGCTCAGTTTGTTCCTGTGTGGCACCACCATACTGACAAGGTTTAAACTGAGACAATGAATTGCAGTCCCTTGTATGTATAACTAACTATATAACTTTAGATGATTAGGTAAAGAACAGGCAAAACTGATTTATAATTAAACAGAGATGAATTCATCATGCCTTTTGCCTCATAAAAATATGAGAAAGAGTCTTTGTGTAAGACAAGACATTCATTTATTGTGTGTGCAAAAAGAAATGAACAAACAGAAAAATCCTCCCCAACCAACTAAAGGATTGAGGGACAGTCATTCCTGCCTGACAGCCATTCTTCAGGTGGGGATAATAACTCTAAAACAGTAAATGGTACAGGGTTGAATTTCTAGAGATGAAGGTGGGATTACGTGAGAAAGAGGAAAAATGAGCAAAAAGGTGGGAAAGGTCTAAGAACTCTCTCCATGAAATTAATGCTGCAGAACAGCCGGGTTGCATTCTGAACAGAGAAGCACTGAGCTGGGGCAGGGCAGCACCTAGCTATTTATTCTGTGTCCATTGCCTAGCTTTCTGTCTGGGTTTGTCAGCCCTGTGAGCTGGGGTAGTACCTCAACTTCTTTATTCTCCCTGCCTTCCCCAGACCCCATCTGTAAAGCTAGGATGATTAGGTTAAGAATGGATCTGATGGCACTGTGTTAGCTAAGTGAACTCCATTAGCTTTTACAGAAGATTTCAGCATGCAGCAGGACTGCTAGGGAATCCAGCCAAGGAAACGAAGTCTGAAAATAACACTTTAAAGGTTGAGGATAAAGAAGACATGAAAGAACTGATAGGATACAGGGACACTTGTTCCCACCTCTAAACTCAGAACTCAGAAGGCTGAGGCAGAGGATTTGCTATGAGTTCAAGACTAGTGTGGATTACAGTGAAACATTGTCTCAAAAATTAAGAAGTAAGAAGGGGCTAGAGTGCTGGCTTTGTGGGTAACAGAAATAGCTGCTCCTCTGGAAGACTCATGTTCGATTCCCAGCAACCACATGGTAACTCACAAAGTGTCTGTAACTCTTGTTCTAGTGGATCTGATACTGTCTTCCAGCCACGAGAGAGACAAGGCACACAAATGGTGTACAGAGATATAGACAGACAATACACACACACACATACACACACACGCACACACACACAAAATAAAAATAAATACAACCTTTAAAACATTGTGAGGTAGAAGGTGTTTATTGTCTCAGGTACTTTAGAACCAAATGGACACGTTGGAATGTCTGCCCTTCATTTTACTTTCATGTGGACAATAGATTACAGAATGAGTAGGAAAAAAGTCCTATATAAAGAAAAAGACAATGTTTCTTATATTGATTCAATATAACCTCCCTCTATTTAAAATTTACACTTTCAGTAGTCACCAAATGATTGGTCATAAAGCAAACATTTTAAATGTTCAGCCTGTTCTTTTAAGGACCATTGCTGTGCAATTAACACCCCAACAGAAGCCTGCATTTGGGAAGCGGCTGTCAGTAAGTTTCATATCAATGCTATTTGCTCAGGAGTACCAAGCAATGCTTGCTTATTTGGGGGCAGGAAGCTATTGATGAAGGCTTCTCTTCATTCCTGCACTTATGTTCCATGAGACTCAAACGCTGAGATTCCATTTCTAATTTGGTTGGCAGTTACAAATGAATACTGACTGGCTGATTTGTCAAATTTATTATTTAGCTTTTCAAATTAAGAAAATGATATTTAACTGGCTGGATCATTTTATCTTTCAGAGTAAAACTGGAGCCCTGGAAGGCCCAGAAGTAGATGGATTTGTCAAAGACATGATGGAGCTGGTTCAGGTAAGTTCATGAGGCTGGAAGGGTTTTTCCCATCATACTTCGGGGTTGACATTGTGACAAATTGCATTATTTCTGAGAATGAGTGAGACTGAAGATTAATACTGGAGGGAAAGGTCTGGAGGCTTTTCCATTTCATAACCATTGATATTCTATGAGACTCAATGAATTCCTTTTGTTTTCTTTAGGTCACACGAGTTAAAATAACACATAATCAACACAGAAGTGTCTTTTAGTCATTATTTTACAGTCATTTGCCTTCCCTTAATAGCCCACGTTACTGTGTATTTTACCGTGTTATTCTTCAGCTGCCCAATGTCTTTTCTCCCCTTTACTCACCTCTCTCAGACTTGCTTATTACAATAACTACAATTCTAAATTTAATTTTGTATAACTTTTTTTCATCAAGAGTTTTTTGACCATCTAGTCTAGGATGGGCACTTCCTGTTATGGTATGGCTGAGGCTTGGACTGAAATAATTTAGGCTTTAATATAGCATATGGCCATTTTCTGTAGGGTTGACAGTGTTTTTTAAAAAGCAGTCTCCTTCTTTTGAATATTATTCTCTGTACTGGTTTATAATCTCCTTAGGCAGACAATTCCAGCTTCTTTCTCTCCAGGGAGCAGTGTAGACAGTGGATTTAGTAGCCTTTGTACTAAGGGATTACTTTGAAGTACATTATTAGATGCACAATGATTGCATCCTGGCTGTCCCAGACAGCAACAAATTAGAGTAACAGTTCTTAATTATGTTAAATCTCAGAATAATTTGCATATATGATTAAGACTAGGAAACCTTGCAGCAAGAAAAATCTCAGTTACTATTTTTTTGCACAGAGCTTCAGGAAGTTGACATTCTGTGACTGAGCAGACACAGGCACAGTTCTGTCTGAAATCCACTCAGGATGACTGGCACACCTTCTGGGGCTCCCGACTTATCACCCTCCTCCCACTGATTTCTCAACTGTTCTTCTCTTTGCTCCGTGGCTCTAGCTGTTCCCCCCACCTTGTCTTCCGGCTCCTGCTGAAATATCACAGGCATTTTCCCATCAGAATAAATTACAGATTTGTGTAGTGTTTTCCTTTTGAAATGATAGTTAAAGGACAATACCATTTTGTCTACCACCTCTTCTATAGCTTAAGTAATAGAAACAAAGAAATCATCTCTGGGACATTAAAGTTTCATGGCAGGTGGATTGGCCCAATTTGAATATTAGTTTGCTCTGATGGGCTCAATGCAATGGCTTATTGCCTAGTTTCCTGTCACAGAACCAGGGTCCTGACTGAGTGTAGGCCTGGGGCTTCCATAATCAGGCAAGGGGCTTGCTCTGGTATTCCTCACATGGTCTCCACACAGGGATAAGCATCACATGTGGAAGTCAATTAGAGCTATTCTGAAATCCTCTCCTATGTAAAACTTAGAACGTGCTCTCTAGACACTCTGTGTCTTAGTTAGGGCTTTATTGCTGTGAATAAAAAGACACCTTGACCAATGTTGTCTTATAAAGGACAACATTTAGTTGGGACTGGCTTACAGTTTCAGAGGTCCAGTCCATTATCATAATGGTGGGAAGCATGGCAGTATCCAGGCAGGCATGGTGCTAGAGGATCTGAGAATTCTATATCTTCATCCCAAGGCAACCAGGAGGGCATTGTTTTCCATTGGCAGTGAGGAGGAGTCTTTCTTACACACTGGGTGGAGCTTGAACATAGGCCCTCAAAGCTTACACCCATAGTGATGAGCTTCCTCCAACAAGACCATACCTACTCCAAATAAGCCACACCTCCTAATAGTGTCACTCCCCATGGTCCAAGCATATTCAAACCACCACACTCAGTGTCTGATTCTCCTTTTCCCACACCACCTGCCATCTGTTCTTCTCTTCCTTCTTTGCTTGAAAATTTTTCTTCTGATGAGACATATAACATGATAGGCAGTGCATTATTGTTTTATTCAGGATCAGCTATTTATGACTTGATGTCTGTGGACAAGTTTCTCAAACCTTCTGTTGCCTGACCCGTCACCAACAAGAGGTATTCAGTGAGACCTGCCTCCCAAAGATTGGTAGTAACTAGGGATGCTGTAGAAAGCTACCATAGTCCCTGAAGACAATATGACTCCCTGAAGTAACTGTCTTTGTTAATTGTTTTAGAACAAATTGGCTGTCATCATTCGAGTGCATTGCTGAGCTGGAAAAATATAAAAACAAAGGAGTGAGTTTCTGAAAGGAATCTTCCCTCAATGGATGGCCATGTCATACAGGATAATGTTGTCTGAAATACTAGTATGCCAAAGGCATGCAAGAGAGCCTCTAAGACAGGATGGCTGTGTCCAAAGGCAACTGACTCACCATAATTTTAAAGCATTTGCTTCCTTTAATGATTTTAAAATTATCTTTGCATATAAAAATGTTTAAGAGCTGTAGACACAGCACAGCAATTAGGAACACTTTTTGTTCTTGGAGAGGACCAGCATAAGGCCCCCAGCATCCATACCAGGTGACTCATAACCACTCTATCACCTGTAACTCCATCTCCAGGGGATCTCATACTCTCTTTGTCCTCCTTCAACATTGTGCATATGTACACACACACACACACACACACACACACCACATATACACAAAAACACAAACATACACATTCACACATATATACACACACACAAGTAAAAATAATTAAATCCTTAAAGGTTGTTAGGATTATCAAAAATAAAATAAAGCAAAATTTAAGACACCAAGGAGAATAGAGGCTAATAATTCTAGTTCTAGGCTGTCTGCTAGTATTCTAGGCCCATGCTCACCACTGGCTGGCAAGGTGATCACCAGTAACAGTTAGCATCTACAGACTTCAGCTTCTTCTCCTGCTTGTCTTTTATTTTGCTTGCTATGTTGGGAATTGAAGGCTGGAGTTCACATGTTCTAGGCACGCACTTTGCCACTGAGCTGAAGTCCAAGCCTGTTTTTATTCATAGTTTGAAACAGAGTCTCACTAAGTTGGCTAGGCTGCCCTTGAGTTCCATGTATAGTTCAGGCCCATGGTGTTCAGGACATGTATGTGTTGAGTCTGTGAGCCAGGATACCTAGCACAGAGACTTGGGCATGCTGGCTGACAGGCTAGACACTGGATTTCAGTCTTTCAGGGAGCTGGAATGCAAAAGGGATGGGATGGGATAAAAGCCTAAAGATGACATTGAAGGATAGGGTAACTCATACATAAATCCACAGACAGGACCAAGCACCTGCTATGGGTATGCATGGGGGTCAGAGGGTCAGTCTCAAAATATCCCAACTCCCAAGGCTTATGAGAGTCAGATCATTAGTTTTCAATCAGTTGTCCTGGGGCTGGTCTCAGGTGATCCTTTGAGGTAGAAGACAGAAAAGGTCTACATTTAAAATGAAAGCAGCTTATATGATCCTGGCTGCCTGCTTGAGTCGGCGTTCTGACTCTGACTCAACGACACCTGCATGACAGTGGGTAGGTTAGACAGGCTCTCTGGGTTGTACTTTACTCACGCATAATTAAGTATGAAACTGGATCCAACCGCCTATGTTTGTTCTGAAGATTTGAGCTGATGTTTATAGAACCCCTAAAGCAGAAATCTAAGTAACACATGTGTTACTGCCTTGCTGTTAAGACAGTCCTAAAGATGGAGGACCCATAGCTTCTGTGCTTTGCCTTGAGTGATCCAGAGATCTTTTAAAGAGTTGTATCCAGCTTTCCTAACTCATGGTGAGATGCCCAGAGTTAAAGACAACTTAGATGATCAGTGGAATTACTCCAAATATTTCTTACTTACTTGAGAGAAATAATTATTCTGAAATAACATATGTTATTCTTCACTTACAAACAAAAGGTTAGAGTAATTTCAATGAAGTACAGACCAAGGGAAATAATTCCCAGGCAAATAATTCATACTTAGGTGTGAACGTCTACCATTCCAGTCTTCTCTAAGCATAAGGTTTGCCATAAGGGTATTGGAGCTTGGTATCAATTATTGGAGAAAAGCTATAGCAGCCAGTTATTAGACATCCCCACTGTTGCATATATGTAAACAGGCAAATTCTTTACAGCACTTGTTGTGCAGCTTGTGTAGACTTCTAAACCATATTTCTTTGAGCTACAACACACACCTTCCTATACTAAGACCCAGGAAACTGTAATTTTTGAGCACAATGAAAAGAACCTGGTAATAATGCATGTCATCTCACTCTTGTAGTCTGATGATTCACAGTGCTTCCGACAGAGGTGCGTGAGAGGTTCCCAGCCCCTCCCCCTCCTAACCCTCACCCAGCCTGCTGCTCCTTCAATTTTTGCTGCTTGGTTCTTTCCTCAGTTTAAAGCTACAATCAGGAACACATTTTGTGTCAGTCAGGCATGCTCCCAGATGGAGTGTAGATTAGCTCTACTGGTTGTGACTCTCTAGTTTGGAAATGGAAGGCTTTATCCCCTATGGAAGTGTTTTGTTTTGCTTTTGTTGTTTGTTTTTGTGTTTTGTTTTATTTTATTATTATTATTTTTTAGAGGTTTCTTTGGAGTAAAGAAAGTGTGGGCAGGGCTGGGGTGGGGGTTGGGGGCAGGAGTGCTTCCCAGGGGCTCAGAAGTCTTTGGAGGGAAACTGCCTGTTTTACTCTTAAAACTACTCAAGTAATTAAGAAGAATGGAAATCATATTCACAAATTCTTTGGACATCAGCTTTGCAGTTTAGATTCATCCCCTTCCCCGGTTTTCTCTAGAACTATGTGAGGTGGTTGATACAGTGCTTCATCAATCAGGAGACCTGGTATAGTCAGCACTCTCCCCTGGAAGAAGGTTGAGCTTTCCTCTTTCTTAGCCTGGGCAAAGGCTGTCACTCTTTCCCTCCGGGGATTGGGAGGATGAGATGAAGTGTTTCAGGGAGTCACTCTGACACTGTTGAAATGCTTCCATGGAGTGCAGGTACCACTGACCCTCCTCAGTCTGGAAGCAGGCCTCGAATAAATCCTCAGTTACTTCTGCCTCATTTAGGGTTTTACTGCTGTGAACAGGCACCATGACCAAGGCAACTCTTATAAGGACAACATTTAATTGGAGCTGGCTTACAGGTTCAGGGGTTCAGTCAATTATTAAGGTAGGAGCATGGCAGCATCCAGGCAGGCGTGGTGCAGGAGCAGCTGAGAGTTCTACATCTTCATCTGAAGGCTGCTAGGAGAAGACTGGCTTCCAGGCAGCTAGGATGAGTGTAGTAAAGCCCACACCCACAGGGACACACCCACTCCAACAAGGCCACATCTCCAAATAGTGCCACTCTCTGGGGTAGGCATACTCAAAGCACCACAACTACTTTGATCTATAACATGGAAACCGTTTATGTGCTTACTTTGCCTGAAGGGGCAAGCTGAGAAATCAAGTAGGCAGCAGCTGTTCCTGGCCCCTCACAGCCCACCCCTCACGGAGAGCAATGCAGTCTGGGACTGCCACTGGCCTTCTGAATGACCATGTCCTCTTGTCCTCAGCCCAGCATCAGCGGTGTGGATCTGGATAAGTTCCGGGAGATTCTGCTTCGCCACTGTGATGTGAACAAGGATGGAAAGATCCAGAAGTCTGAGCTGGCACTGTGTCTTGGACTAAAAATAAACCCCTGATCCCCAACTCCTCTGCTCTCTGCTTATGTCTCTGTGCTTTTGCTGTGAGAAGTGCTTTGCTCTTGGGGACCCAGGTAATGAACCTTCTCCCTGACAGTTTGATACTCTTGACAGAGGGAGGGGCCCTAGAGTGCAGCCATGATCTTGTTCCATGGGAAGCCCCCCTATAACATCTTCTTCCATGTTCGTTCCTTGACCTTGACCTATCTCTTCAAGGGCCTCAGTTTACCTGCTTGTTCTGCACTGTTCAACCTTCCCTTATCACCTGTTGATCCATTCTACCTTCTCCTGTCCATTCTCATGCTTTCTACTCAGCTTTCTACCTGTGTAATGCTGTCACTTCTACAAATATGTCTTCTTGTGGAAATAAAGTTGTGGTCAAGAATAAAGATGTGTTTGAGTTTGTGTAAGTTTTGTAATGTCCTAATGGTTTTCAGGGAAGGCTTAATGGAGGGTGAGAGGCATCATCCTGAAGCATCTGTCTCTCTCTTTCTCTCTCTGTGTGTGTTTGTGTGTGTGTGTGTATTATTGGATAGGAAGAGTAAAGCATCATGGATCAGGTTTTATTGTTTTGTTTCTTTTTGGAGGCAGTATCTCTAGCAGTTGCTGGCCAGTCAGCTATCTTACTGGATGAGCTTCAGGTACAGAGGAAGATCCTGTCTCAAACAAACAAACAAACAAACCCCCAAAACAACAGAACAACAAAACAACAAAACAAAAACAAAAAACAACCACGGTGGAAGGGATAGAGGAAGGCATCCAGTGTTGACCTCTGGCCTCCTCAGGCACATGTACCCACAAGTGCACATGCACCGAAATAATGTCACCCTGGTTACTTGGAAGACTGTATTATCTGCCAAGCTGATATGAGTATTTTGTAAATGTGATGCAGCACACAGAGGTGGGATAGTGGCAGTGGGAAGACTGGCTTTGATCTTCCATCAGCATCTTGCTTCCTTGCTCCATCTCTGTTTCCAAAAACCTACAGTCACCCAGCAAGCAGTTCCTCACTGGTCTGGACATCAAACATGTCTCTGGACTACAAGTCTTGACTTTGTATGCTTGAGGTCATCTCAGAATTTGTTCTTGTGTTTAACTCATTTGTCTTTTACCCATATTTCTTATTCCCAAATTTAAAAGAATAGCCAGTCTTTCCAGTTTCCTCCTTGAAGCTCAAATTAAGCAATGGGAATCTGGGATGAGAGTATATACATGCGCCCATGCATGGCAAAGAAAAATCAAAGGAGAAGAAGACTTGAATACTGTCACCGCAGTATAACCACACTGTTGTCATCAAAGTAGCTGTCAACATCGTCCTCCTCCTCCTCCTCCTATTCCTCCTCCTCCTCCCCCTCCCCCTCCCCCTCCTCCTCCTCTTCATCATCTCAGAATTTACTCTGCTTGTATTTAACTCACTTCTCCTTTACATTGGTTCTTATCCCCAAATTTGAAAGGCTACTAAGGTTTTCCAGATTGCCTATGACACCTGCATTTAATAGAAGGAAACCAGTGAGAGCTGGGACATGCCCTTGTGTAGAAGCTACAGAAAAAGGCTCTCCATCTTGCTGAAGAATTGCATTTGCAACAAAGGAGGGGCTGTGCTGAAGGTGCCATTGTTATTTCTGTTTTGCAAACTATAGCATTTAGGATCAAAGACAGTAGACAGATGTCTAAGGTCTCTTAGCTAGGAAGTGAACCAGCTCACCTCTGGATTTTGAACCAGGGCTCAAGTGGCTTTGACACAATGGCTTAAACATTCTTTGCTTTCATTGAGAAGGTAACCACAGCATGTTTTGAACACTGGTGACTGTCAGCCAGAACACCAGGCTGAGAATCATAAGGAACAACTTTTATAATAAAGTTTTGAGTCAGGGATGTTATCTCAGATACTTAGGAGATTGGTAGGAGGAGCGCAAGTTCAGGGCCTGCCTGTGCTATGTAACAAGTTTAAGATCTGTCCGTCAGAGAAACTTAATGCTGAAGATGGAGGTCAGTGGGAGAGCACTTACCTAGCATATATGGGGCCCTGGATTTATACGTCACAAAAAGAAAATAGACAAAACAACCAGCCAAACAAGAAAACCTTAATGTAATATTTAAATAAATTACAATGTACAAAAACACAGCATGAAAAATATGTCACCCGGTTAAAGAAAGACAGGGTTAGTGTTACTGATGTTTGTTTCAGGCTCTGTTAGGTAGGTTTGCCTTTGTGACAAGTGCATATTGTGAAATTTTAATTTTAGGAGGCAACTTTGCAGTTTCAAATTTCCTTCTTAAAAATAGATTTATATTTATTATTTTGTGTGTGTGTGTGTGTGTGTG